ATCAAATATGACAGGAAGAAATATCCAAAGTGACACATTTGGGTATGGTAAAAAACAAAGCTTAAGTTTCAGAGAATGAAGATGATTTCTCAGCATGATAAGGGGCATCGTAGTAGTTCAAAAGTGGAGTTATTTCAATTAAGGGCAGAATAAGATAGGTAGACCCTTCATCAAGAGTGTTATTTGTCATTTTTCTTGAAGAGCTAGCAAATACAATCGATATTAACATAAAATGAAACGTCTATTGGTAAAAATAAGATTGTGTTTTCTTTATTTTCATATGCTTATTTACATGCCTAGAAATTCCATAGAATCAATTATAATATTTTTAGAATTATTTGAAATGGGTAGGTATAATACAGAAAAGGAGATTTTTTTAATATGCCAACAATATTAGATATGGGACATCATGAAAAAATAACTCATTTCATATGCCTTCCAGTTGAATAAGTATCCATTAAAAACAAAGAGAGACCCTATTTTACTGGATGAAGAAACTAAATAGTCATAATTATTCCTTAATCTGTAATTTTAACGAAATCTTAATAATTTTGTCCCTTTGTGAAAAAAATGCCACAGTTTGGAAGAATGTGTCCAAATCTATAAGCCAATTACTTAGGGGGAAAGATTAAAGCACGTTGGCTTGTCATGTGTGATACATTACATATCACTTAGCCGACTATGAAAGCAACAGTCTTTTAAAGGCAAGAGAAAGCAACAGATAGACCAGGTTTCGATGAAAAGATCATTGTTGCTCTTAGCTCATGTAGACCGTACCGCGCCTGTGGCAACCCCAGGCCTAGTAGAATGAAATGCTCTCATGCCCTACGCCATATTCATCATGTGTTGCCTTTTGAATGGTTGTAAATTTGTCTATCCATCAATGCCCTGCCAAACAAAACAAAACCAAATTTAAATATTTACTACTTGTTTAAATTTCATTGCTGATAATTAATTTTCAATTGCCCATAAAGTAATTTGGTAAGATGGTACAATATGATGTAGTACGGCGTTATATGAACTTATAGTATCGTATGATATTTACAATGTGGTGTGGTATGGTGTGGCATTGTGTGGCATAGTGCATGTGGCATGGGTTAGAATAGTATGTATTCCATTGGTAAACTTATTAGCAAGGTTGTGTTTGTTCATTGTGGAAACAATATAGTATTATTACAGAAAGTTGAATATTATTACTATAAGGTCATTTATTTCTGATATAATCACAATACAACAATTAGTATATTTTTTAATTACATGTACCACGTTTGACTAGCTAAAATGTTTTATATATAAAATTTTGTATACTGCCTTTGTTTTATCATATAATAACCACTTTGTTGCTGTCTTTATTATTATAATTTAATAACTATAAGTCTGTTATCTAGTATTACTGTAACTAAAAGACCATATGTGGATGAGTTTTATAAACTCAAATGTATTTTTTCATAGTTTAGTTGGCTAGAAATTTAAATTCAAGGTCCCATGTCTAGGGAACGATTTTCTTCTGTCAGTCTGTTCAGAAGGAAGCTCCTGGTCGCCTCTGCTTTTGTTTCCTGGTTCCACAGAGATCACCATGAGGCTTGACATCTCTCTCCTCCCATCAATCTACCTCTTTTATAGTTCCTAAGGAATTGACCCAAAATACATTCTACACTGACCCTGCCCATTAACGTATACACATGACCTGAGCCGAACTGGGATTTCAGCCACAAAAGTTAGAATTTACAACATACATTTTGGGGAGGCATATCTCAGTCCATAGCATGATACCATAATTATCTAATAAATGCTTTATACCATAGATCTTCTGTTCCTGCATAATCCAATTACTTGCTTTCAAATTTTCATTAATGATATTATGTTAGTCAGTCACCCAGGAATGGAAAGAATTTTAATGAATATTTATCTGATCTCTTAGTTTATATACTCACTACAACAAATATCTGATGTGAAGTTCACCAGCACTTCATCAAGTGGGAGGTTCTTTTAGAGAAAAATTAGTTTGCAAGTAACTACAACATTGGGAAACTACAGAAATGCCCTGAAGCTTTTCCAACTGAGTTCAAAAGGCTGCCCTAAGATGTGAAACAGCAGACTGGCAAATGGGACTGGATTAAAAGTACCGTATATGCTCAAATATGGTCGACCCAAATATCAGCTGAGGCACCTAATTTTACCGCAAAAACTGCAGGAAACGTGTGCTGAAAAACTCAGCTTATACATGAGTATATACGGTATATTCAACTCATACTATCTCTATAGTATTTTCTATAGAAAATAAAATAATGACGATATAAAACTAGAGAGAAAAGGAAAGTTACCTCCTATTCCTCATCAAATAGTGATGCAATCAGTAGTTTTACAAACATTACCAAATAATTAGAAGTTACATATTTTTGTTTGACTAGTCAGCCTTAGGATGAAAAGTAGTGACACACCTACATCATTGTTTTTTTCAACTTGATCTTTCCTGATAGTGATTTATGAAGGCAAAATAGTTTAGTCCTCTTAGTGCAGGGATAAAAAGTAAAAATAGTGAAATTATATGTCAAATAGTTCCACTTGTAGAAAAACTAACTCCAAGACTTGATACTGATGACTTCAACTGCCTCTCTTTATTTTCATTTTCTCTGTACAATGACTCAAGACACTTTACTTATATCTTAATAGTTAGAATTTGAAACGTGAATTGAGGTAGATGCCATTAAATACAGGCAAACTCGTGTGACCCTATCTAAATCTACACATACATAAGACTGCAACTGGCATGTGGTGGTGGTGGTTGGATGCCATTGGGCCTGTGTTCTGCCTCATGGCCACCCTGTGAACAGCAAAGGGAGCACTGCCCAGCCCTGCACCATCCTCACATCCATTCGTAGGTTTGCGCCCATTTTTGCAGCCACTGCGTCAATCCATCTGGTCGAGGGTTTTCTTCTTTTTTGCTGCCCCTCTACTTAGGCAAGCATGATGTCTTTCACCAGGGACTGGTCTCTCCTGACAGCATGTCCATGATGAAATCTTGCCCCCTTACCACTACGAAGCATTCTGACTGTATTTGTCATGGCTGTTGTTTTTGCCAGCCTCTGCCATGGCATTCTGGGAACACTTTCCTAGAGATAACTGCTTCCACAGTCGAAAGTCCTTGGTTTCTGGACAAAAGGGTAGCAAGATGTGCTAGGACTGTTATCCCTCCCCTCCTGAGATAGTACCGTAAGCATGCTGGACCTAATGGATATATGTAGATGAAAGGGTACAACGTCAAATGAGTTCTATAGCCAGACAGATAACAGACATATAGTAAGTTGCCTGGTAACTACAAAGAAAGGTAGGTTGTGATAATCCAGTGACCACCTGCCATCCCTACAGGCAGGCAGGTCCATGTATACCTTTATATATCATCTTGTACAAACAAAACACTGAATGTAGCATATGGTCTGCCATTTTTCTGTCACTACCTCAAGTTAGCCTTTGGTGGGTGCAACAGTTACACAGGAGAAATAAGATTATCTGATGTGTTTATTGTCCTCAGCCTATAAATAATTACATGCTTTAAAATCAACTTAGGTAATAAAAAGATCTCGCTACAAAATGAGAAGAAATTATTTAAGTATTTCATGAATAAATTTTATAGTTCCTTAAACTATAACAATGCTTGGAAGTTGGTTGAGATCTCTTCTCCCAAAACTATAGAGATGAGGTGTATTCCAAAAATGTCTGGTACTCATTATAACATTAAAATTTATTTAGCCCACAACGTGGCAGGTACTATGCTAAATATAGTAGACACATGATCTCTTTTAATCCTCATAACATAATATAAAACACAGCTCGACTTGTTCAGTCCAGCATTTTTCTTTTTTATGCTTCTGTTTCATCTATCCTTATTCCTTTTTGTTTCTCAGTAATGAAATGCATTTTCATAAAACTAGTGACCCTGGGAACCAGGTACCACCATCCCCTAAGAGGGAGAAAATGATAAAGAGTACGCAATCATTTATTTTTTTATTTTTCATGCAGTTATTCGGTGCCATTGAGCCTTCTCTGACCCATAGCGACCCCATGCACAACAGAACAAAACACCGCACAGCCCCGTGCCATCCTCACAATTGTTCCTACTCCTCAATCCATGGTTGCAACCATGATGTCAATCCATCTTACCAAAGGTGTATCAGTCTGGATAGACTAGAGAAACAAATTCAGAGACACTCATATGTGCATAAGAAAGTACTTTCTACAAAGAATAATGGTACATAATTAAAACATCCCAGCCCAGTCCAGATCAGGTACATAAGTCTGATATTAGCCCATATGTCCGATACCAATCTAAAAAGTCCTCTTCAGACTCACAAATCACATGCAATGACACCGAATGCAGGAAGATCACAGGCCAATGGGTAGAAAGTCTTGTGTATCCAGTGGCAGTGGAAGTATCTCCATGCTGGCAGGGGTCGCCTCGTGGCTCCTTCAGCTCCAGGGCTCTAGAGTAACTCCCTGTGTCTTGTCTGCAGGAATGTCTCTCAGAGAGTGAGCATGTGTCCCACCTCCAGTGAGCTATTTAGCTCCCTAGTACCTCCCAATGTGGTCATCAAGTTGCAGCCTGTTTGACAGGCTAAACTCCACCCCTTCACTGTTAAGTCTCAAACTGACAACAGATTATGTAACTACCACAAAAGGCCTTCCTCTTTTGGGGCCATCCCACCACTTTACCAAACATAATATCCTTCTCCAGGGAATGCTCTCTCCTGACAATATGTCTCAAATATGTAAGACAAAACCCTGCTGTGCTTTCCGTCTAAGGAGCACTCTGGCCTTACTTCTCCCAATACAGATCATGTGTCCTTTAGCAGCCTATGGTACTTTTAATATCCTTCAATATTGCACAAACAAACAAAGGAAAAGAAACACACAGTGGTGTTTTCAGAATGCTCTTTTATCTCCTCTTCCCTCCGTGTCCATATGTTGACTTACTGCTAAAGCTCCTTTCCTTCCAATTACAGACAGAGCTCGAATGGAGAGTCAAGCCTTTTCCACTCTAAACTGTTGCCTAGCTACTGGTCAGGAGGAACTCATCCTCCTGCAAGAGAAAGTCAAGAATGGGAAACTGTCTGTGGATGAAGCACTGGAGAAATTTAAACACTGGCAGTTGACAAAGAGTGACCTGGGAATAATGCAGCAGGTAATGTTGACTCCAGTTCTTTCTGAAGCACTTGCTTCTCTTAGCAGTGTCTACCCTCTTCACCAAGAGCCCTGGTGGAATAGCAAGTTCCACTACTGGACTGCTAAGCACATAGTCAGAAGGTCCAGCCCACCACCTACTCAAGAGAAAGAGGGAGCTTTCTTGTCCTTGGGGCAAGACTACACTGGTCTTCAGGGTCACTATGAGTCAGAATGGGCACCAGTGGCAGGAAATGAATTGAGAACCTCATTGTAAATGTTTACTTTCAACAAGAAACAAAAGGTTTACTACCATTCTTTCATTTTAAATAGCCACAATCAAGATATCTTCAAACTACCAATTAAAAGTTGTGAAATATCTATATCTCATGCTTGTAAACCATTCAGAAACTCATCTCTAGGACCCAGTAGTCTTAAAAGAAATGTAATGAGTTGTATTCTTATTTTCCACTTAGCATTTGAACCTGTGGGATGTATATGTGTATTTGTGTGCGGGTGGGGTGGTTAGTCCTGGTGACATAGGGGGCTATATACTGAGCTGCTACCCATAGATCAGCCACTCAAATGCACCATAAGAAAGATGAGGCTTTTGGCTCTCAGAATAATTCACAAACTCATAAAACCAAGGGGCAATTTTACTCTGTCCTATAAGACCACTAAGAATTAGAGTCAACCTAATGGCAGTGTGAATGTGTATATAAACTATATACATCTATATGTCAACCATATTTGTTTTGCATAAATATTAACCATATTAATTGTATCACAAATTCTATTTTTTAGATGAATGAGATCAGTCTGATCTTATATATCGGAAGAGCAGTGAGGATTTATAGAGAATTAAAGTAAACTTTTATTTACTTTCTATAAATTCAATTTCTATCCTAAAAATAGATTGAGAGAGTTCTGATGGTACCAAAAACAAAATTCTTTATATGTACTTTATGACTTTTCTCAGTGAGATGTACCATGGCTATATTCTATGT